TCTGGTAGGAGATCCAGCAAAGCCCAGGCCTTTCCCTTTCAATTATAAATGCCCGTGTTCCTTTCATGTTGCTTTCCTCAGCTGTCAGAGCGATTGGATTCTGAGGACAAATGTTTGTGGGAAATAAATTTCAAAGTCAACGTGCGAACAGTGCCAGGAAACATGAAACACGTTTTCTGTTTGAGTGGACAACAGGGCAGGAAGGGCCTCCTCCCAGCCAGGGGATGTGCCCAGGGCAGGGGTGGAGTCCCCGCTCCTGGAGGGGCTGAACAGCCCTGTGGATGTGGCACCTGGGGACACGGGGCAGTGGTGGCCTCGGCAGGGCTGGAGGAATGGTTGCACTTGATGGTCTTTAAGGTTCCCCCCAACCCAAACTGTTGTGTGACTCTGTGGGACAGGGCAGCAGGTGATGGGGACCCTCAAAGAAAGAGCCCATTTCTCAGGTCAGTGAGAGCCAGGTGGGTAGAGAAACGCGCTGCAGAAGAGCTGGAAATGCTCTCACGACTGGCTGAAGGGCCACTTGAAATGAAGGCACTGGTGGAGCAAAGCCAGCCTTGCCAGGAGTGGGGCAGGACACTGAGATCCTGGGGTTTGCCTGCTGGGAGGTTAATGGGGCAAATTCTCTCCCTGCACAGAGTATTTCCAGCGAACAAAGGCGTGGGCTCACTTCAAACCACACCCAAGACCCTTCCAGTCACCAGCTGAAACAGGAGCTCTCTCAAGAGCTGTCTCCATGGCCGAGGCCTCCCCTCCTTAACATCATAGAGTCCCAGACTGGTTTGGGTTGGAAAGGACCTCAAAGACCACCTAGTTCCGCCCCCCTGCCCTGGGCAGGGACATGTCCCACTGGCAATATCCAGATCTTAGGATGGATAAGTGGCTTAGGCAGTGCCAGACCTCCAGGATCCGCAGCTGGGGTGCAGGTCTCAGCCTGCTCAGTGCCAGCAGTCATGTAATCCAGGGGGATGTTTTCATGGCAGGTGTTGTTCAGGTGGCTCCGGAGCCCATCTGGCACCCCCCAAAGAACTTATTTTCATTCTAGCCCAAGGGAAAATGTATCTGTCAGGATAAGAGGAGGAAGATAGGAAGAAATTCTTCCCTGTGAGGGGGGGAGGCCCCGGCACAGGTTGGGCAGAGAAGCTGTGGCTGCCTCATCCCTGGAAGTGTCCAGGGCCAGGTTGGAGCAACCTGGGCTAGTGGAAGGTGTCCCTGCCCATGGGGGGTTGGGACTGGATGGGCTTTAAGGTCCCTCCCAACCCAAACCATTCCAGGATTCTATGATTCTATTCCATGATTCTAAGGCTGGTTTCCTTCTGGGCACTGTCCTTATCCAGGCAGGATGTGGAAGGAACCAGAGAAAAGCTACATTCTTCGTGTCTGCAATCCATCCCTCAGCACCCTCTCACACTCATACTGGGGCATGGACCAGTCAGTGCTGGTTGCTTACAGCAGCTCTGGGAATGGCTGGTGAGGGATGGTCCGTGAATGGGTCCATGCCCAGGGAATTGTCCTTTTCCTCTCAGCTTCCTGAACGTGGAGCATTTCCTTCCCCGTGCCTACAACTGCAACTCCCCTGGCAGAGGTGTCGCACCGAGCACGAGGGACAAGGTGCACAAATGGGATCGTTTACAGCAGAAATAGGAAAATAATTGTGTTCTGAAGGGCATCTCTGGGCTGGGGGGTCATAACTGCACCACGTGGGTTGAAATTGGCCCCTTCTGGGTTTATGGGGCCTTCAGGAAGACCATTTCCAGGGAGGTGGTGGAGTCCCCTGGAGGTGGATGTGGCACTCAGCAATCTGGGCAGGGTGACAAGTTGGGGACAGGGCACAGGTTGGACGATGATCTTGGAGGGTTTTTCCAGCCTCAGTGGTTCTGGGATTGAGGAGCATCTCTAAAGTCCTTGAGGTGATATCTTTAGTTCACCACAGGTTGGCCAAGCCAGCTCCACAGTTTGCTCTTCCCAGGATATTAAACATCCAAAGGAAATAAAGAAATCAGACTCCCAACAAACCCAGGGATCATGGCACTGGTGATCAGAAGTGATTAAGCTGACATCATCAAGCTCAAAAAGTTTTGAGTTAGGACTATGGGACTCTTTATCTCTACAAATGTCTCCCTTCAAATCCTGCTGAATTCCTGGCCTCAGTGGCAGCTGGCACTGAATAATTATCCATTTTTAAAGTGTCTCTTTCCACAGACATTCAGCACATTTGGGACTCCCTTTCCATTCTGATTCTCTGAGTGTTGTCTCTGTGACACCTGGGTGGCCATCCCCTGCTTCAACACCGAAATACAAAAATCCCTGAATGTGTCCCAGCGCTCCTGATGGAGTGGATGAGATCTGCAAGTCCCCAGTGCTCTGGGATGGCAACCTGGAATTTTTACCAAGAGGACTTTCCTCCGGGTTCGGGTGACAAACGTCCGGTGTCCCAAGTTCAGCCTCGTGCTTTCCTACTGCTCCCTGTCCTGACAGATCCCGAGTCTCAGTGCTCCCACTGTTGGCTCTGAGATCTGGAGACACCCCAGTTTAGACCAGGTCCTGTGCCTGCAATAATCCATCAGAAGCCTGAGAGTTACTTTTGTTTTCTTCCACCAATACTGTCCATTTCGCCTTTGGCAAACATCGATTTTCCACAATTCCCCGAAGCCCTCATAAAGCAGCTGCCAAAACGGCTCCCTCGTGGGCCACTTCTTTTATTTGTTGAACAAAAGAATCGTCAACATTGTCTTCAGAGCCGTTCGGCGAGCGGAGCCTGGGACCAGGATTCCGAGCTCCCTCTCCTGGCTGCCGGATCAAAAGGAATAGCTGAAAAGTCCCGCACCTAAAAATCGGGATTGCCGGGCTCCGGCTGGAGGAGGAAGAGCCCTTCCAGCTGTTTTGCAGACTTTCTGATTCCGACATTTTTCCTCTCCATGAAACGCGCTGGAGAGATGTTCAGGTGCAACATTTTGGAGAGAAATATGAATTATCTGTGGGCCGAGCCTGCTTTTCCTTTTCTCTCATCTATCGCTGTTAGCAACCAGATCCCAGTGGGAAAATCACACTGAGGGGCTCTGCAGGAAATCCACGGTTTTCTCTCACCAGTTATCGATGGAATGCTGCTCCAAGGGGATAGAAGTGTGGAAAAGTTCCCCCGCAATGAAGAGAAAGCAGAGCACAGGTTGGGATAAGGGGTCTGGATCAGCCTGTCATGAGGTGTGGCCAGTGAAGGTCAGCTCAGTGTGGCCCCACTGCTGCCTGCACCCTGTGGGTGCTGGAGGACTCCTGGGTGGCTGCAGAGATGGTGTCAGCAGGACCAGCACATCCCAGTGGAAGGCAACGAGCAGCACTTGGGGCTCACAGCAGGAGAACTGGGAGCTCAGAGGGCTCGAACACTCCAGGTCTTCACAAGTGGGGGACACACCTTAATGCCCTTTCCTCTCCCCTTAGCATTCCATAGTGGCCAGCACATGCTGCAGTCTGGGAAGTCTGGTTTTAGTCTCAAGCTGGGATCCTGTAGGAATTTGGACTGAAAAGCTCAGGGCTCTGCACTTACACTGGGAGGCAAAAGCACCGATGGATTTTGAAATAGGATCGTGAGACTCCTGTGTGTGTCCTGTTGCACCCTCTGTGAGCAAATGTGGACCATAAATCCAATTTGGAAAACTCAAGAAGCCCTGGAAAACTTTCAGTCTCCCCACAATGCAATTATGTGACTCTCCAAGTTGGTTTCAGGTCTAGGGAGAATAACAGCACTTGCTGTCCTGTGAAATTATAGAATCCATGAATCATGGAATGGTTTGGGTTGGGAGGGAACTTAAGAACCACCTCATTCCACCCCCCTGCCGTGGGCAGGGACACCTTCCACTAGCCCAGGTTGCTCCAAGCCCCGTCCAACCTGGCCTTGGACACTTCCAGGGCTGGGGCATCACCTCCCTGGGACAGTGTGTGGGCTTGGCTGACCATCCTCATCCCAGCAGTTACAGCCACCTCCCCTCCTCAGCCTCCACATCCAGGCAAAACCAAGGAGCAGGGAAGTTGCCCTCATGCTCCTCAAGAATGAGTGGCATTATCCTGGGAGCTGTTTAGGTAAGATACAAGCCAGGACACTGCCCGGATTGTCCATGGCACAGGGGAGCCACTCCACCCACCTGTAGGGACCCCTGGTCATCGCTGACCACGAGGCATCGACCTGGGCACGGCCAGAGGGTGGGACTGTGCTCTGCTGGTCTCCTCACGTGCACCAACCTACACATGACTATGAAGGTCAACACCTCAGCTGGACCTGCAAACTCACTTGCTCAAACCTTTGATTCCCTTGAAACTGCCCCAAGCCCGTTGCCAAACAGGTCCTGGAAGAATGAGGAGAAGTACGGGCAGGTGATGGACATGGCCAGAGGTGCATGGTGGTCTCCTGTTTACAGCAACTAAGCTGCTGTTCTTCTTCTGTTAGTTTTGGGAACCCTGGGGCATATTCTGACCACAGATCCTCCCACTTTTCTCCTTCCCTCTCGCCCCTTCTCTTCCCCCTGCAACAACTCACCTGTATCCATCTATTTTCCCCCCCGAGCCAACCTCAGCAGCTTTGGGGGCAGGAAGGATCCAACGAGGAGTGTGTGAGATGGAGGGAGGTGGAAGTTTGGGAGAGGGATGTGTGCTGCTCCCGGAGCTGGGCTCAGGCATGGCAGACCATGGCTCACTTCCTTTGTCCCCGGGACAGACCCAGGGCGGGCCAGGGGGTGGATGCTGATCACATGGAAACACGGAACATCCTGAGCTGGAAGGGACCCACAGGGATCATCGAGTCCAGCCCTTGACCCTACACAGCACGACCCCAAAGACATGAGCTCCAACACCCTCTCACAGGTGTCTTTCATGGCCAAACCCTGCCTGAGCAGGACTTGTTCTGACAAGGTGGAAAATGAGCTTCACGGCGCGGCGGCAGCGGCTCAAAGGAGGGAGAAGCTTCCTCTGCAAAAGGGAAAGGAAAGCTCAGCAACAAGGTCACCTCCACTGCCTCAGGCGATCCGGGGGATGACAAAAGTTTCCATGTAGCGCATCAGCAGAAGACAAAAGCCATTCCTGGAGGGCACAAAGACAGAAGGAGCAGTGCAGCAGACAAGAAATTCAATGTAGGGAAAGCCACAAGGTTTGCTGCCACGGAAAGGACACACTCCTGTGGGGACCCCAGAATCATGGGGTGGTTTGGGTTTGATGGGACAGTTAAAGGCCACTTGGTCCATTCCAAAGGTGGGGGGTACAGGACGGAGTAGCACAATGGTTCAAAGAAGCCTTGGCCGGGATTCCTCGGAGCCGTTGATGCTCCAGAGCTGGCACCGAGTCCTCTCAAATGCTGATGGTGGGCAGGTGGCCAAGTGGCAACCAGGAACACAAGTAATTGTCTGGATTTGGATCTTGTCTTCAAGCCTACAGCTCCTTTCTGCTCTGCCCACACCATGTGGGTCCATTAGGGATGGATGGGAATTTGTAGTGAGCCAAGACACCTTTCCCAGCATCTGAGCTGCGCCAGTGACCACACAGGGAGATGGTTGGGCTTTGTCTGGGAATTAGGTTCTTTCTCTTTGCTGAGGACTTGTGGTTGTCCCTTTCCATAGATCCTACAGTTTCTAAGGCCAGAAGAGTCGAGTCAACTGCTGTTTTGTTAATCCTTGGAAAAGTGCAAATGGCCTTCAAGCCAACAGCCGAGATGCAGATGGCTCTGATGTGGGAGAACAGCTGGGATGTGCACAGGTTTTCCAGGGACACAAAGGAAAACAGACTGGAAGGGGTCTAGATCCCTGCTTGCAAGTTTTAGCAGAGCAGAAAATCGGGCATTCTTCAGTGCAAAGTGCCTGACACAGGCAGAGTGGCTGGGAATATGTTCCAGGGCAGCACTGCAGGCTGCACCAGGAGACCTGGGCACACAGGAGGGCCAGTGCCACCCAAGCTCTGCTCCAGAGCAGTGCACAGAGGCAGTCTCAAGGGTGTTCATTCCATGCTTCACAGCCAGGAGCGCTCTGAGGGCAAAGGGGAGAGTGAGGAGAAACCCAACCTGAACCCCACAGGCTGCCAGGACATCCATCCCGCAGTCGGTGCCGGTGCCTCCTCCAACCTCCGGGGGCTCAGCTGGCTCCAGGCTCGCCCCCAGCACCCAGTGACCCTCCCTCACTGGTGTCCTGGGGGGGTGCAGTGGGTCAGCACAAATGGGCCTGCGAAGGAAAGGAGCTTTGTGTTTCCTCTGGGAAACCCAGGATGGAGGATCTCACCCAGCAACCACCCAAGGAAAACGGGAAAGGCAGGATTTGCCCAGGGGAGCTGGATTCCAAAGAGCTGGATTCGAGGGAATTAACTCAGGCACCTGGATGTCTAAGGAGCACTAAAATTTTCCCATTCTTTCTTATTGCCCACGTTCTTTTGAAATCCCTCTCCTGGGTGCCTGATGCTCCTGGGATCCTTGAAGATCCCAGAGCGGAATAAAAGTGTCTTTCAGCTCCGAGGAAGAGTTACAGTGATGTGTGGGCAGCCTGGAAGCTGGAGCCACAGCAATCTCTTCCAGCTGCATTTCCCCTTTCTATCACATGCATTTAAAAGCTTTTAAGAGAACGATCCCTCTGCTGGCAAACTCAGGGTTGGGCTGTTCTTCAGGTTCTTAAATCATTTTAAAATACGGAGCAATATTGGTTTAAAAGCCTTTGCTCTTCCCCAGCTGCAGGAAACCTCAGTGCAGCTCAGCAGAGCTCCCTGCACTCGTGAGACACCAGCTCGGGGCTTTCTGGGGATCCATCACACGCCAGGAAAGGGCTGGGCACTGCCCGACAGTGACAGCACGGGGGGACAAACAGGGGGTTTCTCCCTACGTCATTTCCAGACATTCCCAGGGCTGCCCATGGAGCCCAGACACCGCCAGTTTTTCTCCTTTAATATATCAGATCTCTGTGCTCGTGGTGAGGTTTATATTTGCTGAGCTGTTTATGGGTAAGGACAGATGGCTCAGCTGCCAAATTCAACTCTCAGGGAGGGGTTGTGCCCAAATTCCCCGTTGTTCAGGCAGGGCCCTGGCTGCAGTCTCTGCCTTTATCCTGCCATCCTCACCCAGGCTTGGATCACAAGCCCACACATTCCAATTCTCCCACTTTATCCTTAGAGCAGCACATTGCCATGTGCTCTCAGGGACAGGAACAGGGGAGGTGACCTGGGATGTTGGGAGGACAGTACCCCCTGTCCGTGGCCAGGAGTGCATCTCCTGTTTCGTGTTCCCCTTGCCAAGATCTGAAACTCTCGTCTGTGGAGAGACAGAGAGTGCTGGGATTGTCCAGCCTGGAGAAGAGAAGGCTCCAGGGAGACCTGAGAGCCCCTTCCAGGGCCTAAAGGGGCTTCAGGAGAGCTGGAGAGGGACTGGGAACAAGGGATGGAGGGACAGGACACAGGGAATGGCTTCCCACTGCCAGAGGGTAGGGTTAGGTGGGAAATTGGGAAGGAATTCTTGGCTGTGATGGAGGGGAGGCCCTGGCACAGGTTGCCCAGAGATGCTGTGGCTGCCCCTGGATCCCTGGGAGTGTCCAAGGCCAGGTTGGATGGGGCTTGGAGCAACCTGAGATAGTGGGAAGTGTCCCACTATTGATATGAGCTTTAGGGTCACTTCCAACCTAAATCACTCTGTGATTCTATTATATGGGGTTTTTTTACTGTTTTGCTCCCTTGCTGGTGGGTTTATATTCTGATTTCCTGGGACAAACCTGCTGCCTCCGGGGGATTCAGGACACCCGAGCAGCGCAACAAGTGACCCTGGGAGCAGGACTGCCGGGCCGGCTCAGCTGGGCAAGGCTCAGCTCTGGCTCCGGGGCTGCACCGAGATTCCACTCCCCTGCGAGGCTGCAGAGGCAGAGAATCCCCTTCCCGTTTTGTTCCCCACATTGCAGCTTCCTCGGTCCACAGAGGGCGAAGCTTTGGCGCTGGAGCAAGAGAGCCGCCGTGGTTCTGGGGTGGGAACGGACCGGAAAGGAGGAGCCCTGAAGTTTAGGGAGGGAGAGGAGGAAGAGGACGTTCCTGTCCCCCTCGCAAGGAGTGAGGGGGCTACCGCAAACACCACACAACACAGGGGATGCAGAGGGGTTTCTCACACCCCCCCGGGTGTTTGCTGAGTGAGGCAAGAGCCCCCTTCCCTCCCTGCCCCGCTCCGACACGGCTCTGAGCTGGTCCATCCCCACCCCAGCCCATCCCGACTCGCTGAACTTTCCCTGGGCTCAGCCGAGCTGCTGCCAGGGATCCTCCCCCTCATTTATCTGCAGGATCAGTTGTAGCCCTATTGATTTTTCCTCCCTCCCTCTCCTCCCCGTGTTTGCTTTCTGAATTATGCAGCGGTGCAGTTTCTCCTCCTCGCGAGGAGCGGGTGAGCTGCGGAGGATCAATTGAGCCCTGCCATAGTTTAATCAGGAATCCCCAGTAGGAACTGGGAGAGAGAAAGGAGAAGGGAAGACAATGAAGACAGGGTCGATCAATCCAGTGCTGGTGCAAAGGAGAGAAAGGGGAAGAAGAGAGAAACGGGTTGAATAATCAGCCAGTTTTCCTCATGCAGTCCTCAGATCCCCCAGACTCAATCGATAACCAACTTTGACAGTCGTGGCTTCAGAAACAAACTTTAAAAAACCCCCCCTGAACTCAAAGATTGTTGTGCTTTATAGCATGAGGATGGCCAGTGAAGCCCTGCTAAAGACACAGAGAGGTGAGATTTGTTCCCCCCTTCTTCCTCTCCCCTTTTAAAAGTCCACATTAGGAAGGCTCGGCTGGATCTTGGCTGAGCCGAGATGAAAGGGGAGCAAACGGGGCTTTTAGTACCAGTTTTGTTGTTGCAATTATTTTGCCAATAGTAATGATTTCAAGACAGGACGGAGGATCTTTGATGCTGTGCTGGTGACGTGGAGGGGTGGACAGAGAGCTGCTGGGTTTGTTCCAGCACTCCATGCAAATCTGGGAGATGAAACCCCACGGATGGAACAGACATTGGTTTAGGACATGCAAATAAAACACAAAAAATGCCCAGCTGAGGCACAGGGACCACAGGGACTGTCTGGATATGGTGCCAGCACGTGGCAAGAGATATTTCTGTGTCAAAAATAGTGTGGCCAGAAGGACAAGGGAAGATTGTTCCTCTGTGCTGGGCGCTGGTGAGGCCCCACCTCAAGTCCTGTTCCAGTTCTGAGCCCCTCACAAGAAGGACATGGAGGGGCTGGAGTTTGTACAGGGAAGGGAACGGAGCTGGGAAGGGGCTGGAGCAGCAGGAGGGGCTGAGGGAGCTGGGGGGGCTCAGCCTGGAGAAAAGGAGGCTCAGGGGGGACCTTCTGGCTCTGCAACCCCCTGACAGGAGGGGGGAGCCGGGGGGGGGTCGGGCTCTGCTCCCAGGGAACAAGGGACAGGAGGAGAAGACACAGCTTCAAGTTGAACCAGGACACCTTGAGGTTGGACATCAGGAGGAATTTCTTCCTGGAAAGGGTGGTCAGGCATTGGAAGGGGCTGCCCAGGGAGGTGTTGGAGTCCCCACCCCTGGAGGTGTCCAAGGAAGGCCTGGATGTGGCACTCAGAGCTCTGGGCTGGGGGACAAGGTGGGGTGTTGGTCACAGCTTGGACTCGATGGGCTTGGAGGACTTTTCCAACCTCAGTGATTCTGGATTCTGGCATTCTATATCCACGTTATATATCCATTTTCCTCAACACTCTGCCTGGAAAGCTTAACCAGACTTCCAAGCCTGCCAAGGGTTTCTGTGCTGAGTCTCCCCAAGCAGGAAAAGAATTTCACAAGGTCTTTGGAGACGCTGCCTCATCTGTGTCATCCCTTTTTCCCCGTGAATCCCCCAGCTCTGTCCACAGAGCCCTGCTCCACCCGCTGTGAGCAGCCAGCCCTGGGGTCACCCTGTGCCCACCACACTTCCCCTGGTTCCCTGGGGAACCAAACTCTGAGTTTTCCAGGCTTTGGAAATCAAATCTCCCCGGAGTGGGAGGGAACTTTCCTGTCTCAGGGCTGCCTCGTTCCTAGAAGGATGTGCTGCTTCTGGATTTGAACTGCAGACAACTCAACTCGAGTGCAGTTCTCAAGGAAAGCAGGAAGTTCTGGAATCTCCAGACCTGAAGCTACCTGTGGAAAACTTTGGAGGACCAGGAACATGGGACAGACATCTCTGCAGCTCCACTCCTGGGTTTCAGTCCCAAGGAGAGCAGCCCCAGGTTGGATCCATAATCCATATGTGCAGGACAGAGCAGTTGACTGGAACCCACAGTGGCATCAAAAACTCAGCTGAGCATGGCAGGGAGGTCTGGATTAGTGACCATGGATGATTCATATCTGTATCAGAAACTCATGGCACAAGACAACTGAATTTCCTACACTAAGGAGCTTGAAATCAGGACAAACCTTTCTTTCCCCAAAATCACTTCAGCCAAACAATCTCTTATTTTTGGTGACAAAAATGCTGGAAGAAGACCTCTGGCAAATTTCAGAGGAAAAATTGGTAGGGAGAATTATTCCTTCCCTTGTCATCCATCCTGGCCTTGACAAGCAGGAGTTGTATTAGTCCCATTCTGCTTTTCCCAGGACACAGGAACTAATTTAGTTCCTCTCTTCTATATTCACCTTTATTCCTGAAATTCCTCATCCCAACAGCCTGACTGCAGCCCGAAGGTTCAGGAGTTACTAATGAGAAGGGCAGAGCCTGGCAGACACGAGGTCCAAAGGCATCGATGGGAGGCCAGGACCGGAACTGTCCTGCAATTTTGGGGGGGGGATAGGCACAAGGATACAATAAAAGCTGTAATAATTAGCACTTCGGTTAATAGGGATGGAGGTAGAGCTTATTTTGGAAGGAATGGAAGTACAGGTCAGCCTGGAAAGGATGGAGGTGCAGCTCAGGCTGGAAAAGATGGAAGTGCAGCTCAGGCTGGAAAAGGTGGAAGTGCAGCTCAGGCTGGAAAAGATGGACATGCAGCTCAGGTTGGAAGGGATGGAGGTGCAGCTCAGGCTGGAAAAGGTGGAGGTGCAGCTCAGCTTGGAACAGAGGGAGGTGCAGTTCAGCTTGGAAAAGGTGGAGGTGCAGCTCAGGCTGGAAGGGATGAAGGTACAGCTCAGCTTGGAAAAGATGGAAATATAGCTCAGGCTGGAAGGGATGCAGGTGCAGCTCAGGCTGGAAAAGGTGGAGGTGCAGCTCAGGCTGGAAGGGATGCACGTGCAGCTCAGGCTGGAAAAGGTGGAGGTGCAGCTCAGGCTGGAAGGGATGCAGGTGCAGCTCAGGCTGGAAAAGGTGGAGGTGCAGCTCAGGCTGGAAGGGATGCAGGTGCAGCTCAGGCTGGAAAAGGTGGAGGTGCAGCTCACTCCTGGCACTTCAGGTGGTTCAATCTTTGTCGTTACGCAGCTTCCGTGGGCTTTTCCAAGACATCCTTCCCTCTTAGCTCATTGCCCAGTCCCTCCACCACAGGAAGGTCACCTCCAACCCATCCTGGGAGTGTTCAGCTCTGGATTACAGCCGCCTGAGGAAGGCAGGAGGCCGGGCTGGTCCTCCAGCACCGTTAGGGAAGTAGCTCCTTCCTCGCCTCCTCCCCGAAGTTGTTCCACATTTTCTGCTAATAAGGGCACGGGGAGAGAGAGACAGAGAGAGGAGAGGAGAAAAACTGCTCTAAATTATTCATTGACAATATCATTATGTGTCATAACAGTGTGTCTGTGATGGGAAAGAGTGAGTGTGGCAGGGGCTGGGGTAGCACAGTCCAGGCTGCACAATAGCGAGAGCTGATTAAATATTGATGTGCACTAATTGGCTACAGGGTTTCAGGACAGCTTGGGCTTTGTTGGGATCATTTGTATTCTTGCTTTGGAAATGGACCCCCCCCACACACACATATAAACCCAACATTTTCGTGTGCAAGTCTTCTCCCTCCTCCTCCTCCTCCTCCTCCTCCTCCTCTTTTCATGCTCCCTCCCTCTCTCCCTCCCCTGCTTCCAGTCCTCCCGATCCCCCTGTGTGTGTACAAATTAACATGATCTTAACCTCTCCTGATTTTCTACAGTGCTGACATGCTGCCAACACCTCTGTGCAATTAGGCTAAGCTTGCACAACTGCTTTTTGGTGCAGAAAACAGGCCTTGCCCTCGTGGACTGTCCTCTCTCTGTGTCTGTGCCTGCCCTCTTCTCTTAGCCCTTTTCCTGCTTTTTGTCCCCAGAGCAGGTGGAAAGTCCTTCCCAGGCGCTTTTTTTCCCTCCTGGAATGCTCCAGATGTCGACTCAGAGCCTTCAGTGGG